CATGTTCCTTTCGTTGTGCTTCGTACTGTTCCAGTAGTCGACGGAGAAGTAAAAGCTCGCCTCGAGAAAGCTGTCCATCGAGATCAAGGAAGGCAACGCGCTCGGAATGCACCAAGGAGAACACGGAACAGACATACACACACGCGAACACAAATACGAAACACACAGAAAAATACACAACCGAACGCTCTCCCACGGTTTAAACACATGTACACACACAAGCGGAGGGTGAAGAGTACCGTGGAAGGACCGTGAAAGAAATATGGAAACAGCCCTTGCACAATGGACAATATTTTCTCCCGCCAGGCAAAGATAAAGGGGAGAAGCCAGCGCCGCAGGAAGTTCGACCTTTCTTTCTCCACGTTGTTCGTTTCGATCGCGAACGCGCCTTTAAGTGAATTCGAGGGGTAGTCGGTTCCAGATGACAGATAGACTCTCCGTAAAAAAGCAGGAAATCGCTTGTAAAATAGGATAAACGGCGATATCCTTGGGAAATGTACACGGTGGATTAATCCTTGGATCGAACTGTGTTGGAAACGTGGAGTACACTTTTTTCGTAACAGCCTTCGTTTTCAAGGGAAACTAGTTCAAAATTTAGGGGATGCTTCGGTGGTTCCTAATGGGTCTTGTCTTTACGCTCATCGACTATTTATATAAATATTATAATACATTATAATAGTATTTATACGTCGAAGAAGTTACAAGTAAGTCGTTTCGTCGACTGGAACATCGATTGCAGGTTAGATTTATATTATTAAAAATGTTAATGATATTGTAAATATATGTAACAGATGATATTAGTGAACTAATTCATCAGATCAACAAGTCTTGAGAGGTTATTCAAGCATTCACATGAATATCTTAAGTAATACGCCATTTATAGGTGCGCCGTATTTTCATAATTTCTCCAATTGAGAACCACTGGCATGTCTTTGTTAACTTCGGACTCCATTTTCTCGAAAACGGAGGGTCATACGGAAAAGGTTCTTTTCACCTTTTTGTTTCATTTGTAGGTAAATGACATCTTTCACGTAAAATAAATCACATTTATTGTACCGGGTGTCTCGTTTCAACCGATTTCATTTCTAACGAAGATCCACAGAAGGAAACTTGACACTGTCTCGCACGAGAAATATTGTTTATTGAGAGATACGTTGTTTCGCGTTGCACCGTTGCGATTGTTACAGTTTTCGAGGTTCGAGGTGGGAATGAGAAGACCGAAGATATGGCGAATCTCATCCTGACGCGGCTTGCGAAGAGAAGCTGGACTCGTCTGGCCGGCTACCCGCCCAATTTATTTCGCTCCGCGTTTTTCAAAGTTAATCCATGTCTCGCGAGCGGCAGCTGGGTCCTTGCGTCCCTTCGCTTCAGCCACAGAGGAGACTTTCGAAAAACTTGGCGGGCTTATCAGGTTTAGGGAACATGGCCGACGAGCGTCCCTTACGGGAAATGTTTGGGGCACTTTAGACTGTAACGCAGTGCAGTCATGGGAAAAATACGGAATATTTGGAATTTTATTTGACGTTTAACTAGTGAAACAGTGTCTCTCGAATACCGTACAATTTTTTTTGCGAGTAATTAACCAGTAATCTTCACTGTAATTGAAATTCTAGTGAGGTTGCTTGTTGCGACATACGTTTACTAAATTTCTTTAAAAGCCCTATTATACAGAAAGAAGAGTTTCGTTGTTTAAAAAGAGAATGTTAAAGAATATTCTAGTTCTCTTTATCAAGTAAAAATTTAATACATGAGTGTATATTAGAAAATGTTTGAACAATCGTAACTGTATTAAAAATTTGAAAGACAGTTCGCCTCTGAAAGTATGAAATTAAATTTACATCTTCCCCATGTTTACACTGCGTTGCATTTTAATTATAATTTCGATGAGCATAATTCCGATTTCGTCGAGCATGCGACGTTTTTGTACCTTTCGATCGCGATCCAGAGATCATTCTTTCTACGTGAAAGTCTGTTCCGCCCGTTTGACGCGAGTTGTCGTTGCCCTTGGATCACCTGGATCCATCAGGGACTAAAAATGTTGAAAGGCAGGCGACGACCGGCCCCTGTTTTAAGGGCCGGCGCCTGTCGTCCGCTAGCAAATAATAGAGAATTAAACAAATAAACGTTTCATCCATGCCGTCTACAACCAGTTTTGCTTCTTTTATCATCGGATTATTCTGGTAAGCCTTCGATCAGCGTGATTCCACTATCAAACTATTAACCCTTATCATTCCAAGGATATCATAGTATGATTATAAATAAATTCTATTAATTACAGAGAGTAAATTGAATTAAAAGGACATGAAAAACAAAAAATTAATTCATACTTTACTGTTGCAATTGTAGTTATTCATCGTATAAGGGTTAATTGTCATGCCAATATACAAATTTTCACGTACTACTTATTGAGTAATAATTTCAGACTGATTTCTTTTGTGTTCAATGTTTAGAAACTACTTAATTCCTTGCTTCGCAATTTTGTTTGCACTTATTACTGAATTACTGCATCGTCAATAATTGGAAGGGAAAAAGAATTTGATTTTTGATCTTTCAGCGTATAGAATTATTTATTGAGAATATTATCGACAATAGAAAAATGGTAGTGTGTAAGGAGTTAGAAATTCTTAAGTAAAGTTTTTGATTTCGAAAAATAGCGTACTTCGGATGAAGAGGAGGCTGAGCACGAATGGTGGTTACTGTGCTGTGTAAAATGTGTTCACGATTGTAGCATTGCTTCGGAGTGATATGGAGCTTCTTGGATTGATCAATAAAGGATTCCTGACTGCTTAAGAGCATTGCTCATGTATTTTTCAGTATACTTCAGACATTTTCCTACCTAACGTATTCCTTTCTCTCCGAGACAGAGATCAACTTTTCAAATGAGGCGAATGTTTTCTTTGGAAAAATATAACGAGACCCTTTCATCGCTATTTCTGTTGTCTCTTATTATTATTAACATTGAAATCTGCACAGAAATCTTTCACGAAGTTTATTGAATTATTTCAACTGAGAGGATCGCAATTTGCCTGCATTGATTAATCAAGAAGGTAACTTATCGAGTTACGAAGAGGAAAAAGAGAACAAAAGCTTCATTATGGAAATTCATTAATCATGAGGGTAGTTTATTAAGTCGGTACGAAAGAAGTTGAAATCTGAATGATTAAAATTTATCAACCATGCGGGTAGTTACGACACGAGTGAACGAAGGGAAAGTTTTTAATTACTAAAATTTATCAACCGCAAAAATGGTGACCCGCGCCCGAAGAAGATGAAGGGTGCAACGTTTCTGTACGGAATTTCCAGATTAATTTTCATACAGCGGTAATTGCATTATTCATGAAAAGGTAAATGAAAATCATCGAACACGAAAACTTTTGTCACTGGAAATTCCATTTTCGGGCGCTTTAAATTTAAATAAACTTTCCATTTATTTACACGAATGAATTTACACGAAAGATACTATTTATTTATATAAAAAAATTCACATTAAATATTCTATTTATTTATACAAATCCACATTAAACATATTATTCATATATACAAACAAACTCATATTAAATTTCCATACGTACACAAGTTTACTATTTCCTTCGAAAAAATAATGAAAATTATTACATTCCAAACTACATCAGCATATTTTCAAACTAATCCTTCAACAGGACCAACAACCTCAAACGCCAAGAATAACTTATTACCGAACACGTTAGGGCCTCAGATTTCCATAATATTATTTCTACGAAGGGCCTCGTTTTTATCAGTACGGTGCATTTTTCTTCCCGGCGGGAAATAATGACGCAATAACGCTTCTCTTTAGCAGTGTACGTGTTCGGCCGCGGTCGGTGTCATGATTTCGCGAATAAATCGGAAATCTTGGCTCGCGGAGGAACGAGATAAAGCAAGTTAATCAAGCGTGATGCGAGCAACAAAGAAAACGGGGTCGCGGCGATCCCCGAGCGGAGATAAGCTTGCACCGAAAATCCTCCCCGGGACAGCGCGATTTTTCATGGCCGCCCAAGAACAAGGCTGCAGCGCAGGTTTTACGCATCAATAAAACAAACGCCGGCCCGAGATCTACGGTGCCCGATTAGATAACAAAGGGAGAAGGCAATTGTAATTTGGCTGGATAAGCTCTGTGTCTTCTTTAAATCTTTAAACTGACTCCTCCTGCGCCAACGGAGGCGTCGCAAAATTATTTTTGCAATGGAGGCTGGCTCGCTGGCGAGGAAACCCGAGAACTTTTTGTTGGTTTACGACGTTTTTCATTTATTTCTTCATGGGATCTACGGAGGATTGGAATTCGTGGATTTTCTTTGGGTGAGTAAAGAATTCACAGTATTCTAGTAGAATATTTACTTTTTTAAATGACTAAGTTAATAATGTGTACTATGTTTTTTTAATGGTTCTGTTGTTATTTTAGTATGAACTTAGAGACGCCGCGAATTTGAATAGTTCGTGAGATTTAGTGATATATAAACTGATGTAGTATGTTTTTATATCGTTTCTTCTTTGAAAATATTTATTTCAGTGCAGATAATAGTACAATATTACTAATAAATAGTAACGGTAACAAATCTATCTTCCAACGATTTGCAATGTTAAAACAAAATATCCATCGATACAAATCCCACAGCAATAACCAAAACACAAACTCAAATTTCAATCATCAATACATCTCAATATTCAGAATATTACCACAAAAGCTTCTCAATAATTACACTCCAAACACTCACACAAGCAGCAAAGAATTTTCAATCAAAAACAGAGCGTTTCCAGATTAACTCATTTCCACTTTCAATCAATGAGAAATCCACCTAAAAAGCGATCGAACAGCAACGTCGTTCGAAACCATTCGAGAGCAGGAGAAACTTGTAAAGCACAAAATTTCCATAATCCGCGAATGAAATCGGCAATGAAAAAATCAGCCGCACGCATCCGAAAGAAGCGAGCGAGTACGATAAAACGCGGGACGCTTCCGAGTGAAATTTACCGGGGCCGTTCCACGCCGGGCGATTTGCGGGGAATATTTCGCCATTTAAATAAAATAGTCGGAGCGCTTAACAGGTCCGATAAACGTCGCGGCGAGTTGGTACGGGCAACGGCAGTGGTTCCATTACGAGTTGAAAAACGAGCGGTCGAACGACCTAATCTAACGTCATATTCAACAACGCTGTCCGCGTGCCGGCGCGACGCGCTCGGCGGCCACGGTGGGGGAGGGGCGACCGCGGTGATTTAAAATCAATTTGGTAGCCACGTGTTTACGGTAATGGCCGCGCTTGTAACGACCGAGTTCAATGCGGATTTAACCGGTCCGCCGTTACCAATCGCTTCAATCTCGCGCGAAAAGCCACTTCTCCGTTGGAACAATTCCATTGACGTTTATAACCGACCCTTGCTATCGATAACCGCCCGCTGGATTAAGAGCGCGATACGTATTAACCCTTTGAACTCTGCAGGCTCCGGTATTGCATTAGTTATAATATTAAATATTTTAATGAATCTCAACCACTTGCGGTGTACAGAAATGCAACGCTGCGAGGCGTCGCACGGAGTTCGACGTGTTCCAGAAGAGAATATAGACGCATCAACTGGTGATAAAATTACACATGTATAAATAAATTTATTTATTAACACGTTGGATGCTGTGGGGGTCACCGGTGACCTCAACCAAGTCGAATTAGTACAATTCATTCGATTAAACTATGAATATTTGGAAAATTCTCTATGTTACAAGTAATACCGTCTAATGCAGTGACATTCGACAAGATAAACCTGCAATAATAACAACGTAATTCAGTTACATAAGTTGATACTACGTTCTTTTCATTTTGCATATTTTCAAGACAATTTGGAAAATTGACATTGCAAGAATTGACATTTTTGTGACAATTGCCTGTGTAATTGTGTACAATACGTCGCTGACATTTCTGTACCAGAAGCATCTCCGCGTGCGTGGTATGTCTTTCCACCGCAAGTGATTAAAGAAACTACCCTAAAATTATTAGATTTTCCACACATCCAAATTTTGTATTAAGAAGGAAAATAAAGGATCGAAGAAATGTTATGGTATTTCTCATTCGTTGTTTTTTATTAGCAGACGTTGATTTTTGTACGAGTGTGAAATTTTGTGATCGAACGTTGCGAAATTCAAGTAGAATAAATTTCATTTTTTATAATTATCTAATTTTATTTTCTAGTTATTCAAAAGATAAAGATAATAGTCGATCGAATTCATTTCTTTTTATTAAACAGTGCGACAAATTCAGTTTCTTATCGCAGAGTAACTTAATATTACCTACATCGTGAATTCTATTAATTTGTAATATTGTACAGTTGAAAATATCATTCATAGAATACTTTTATAACAATATCTTCTCACAAGTTCTGTCCTCTTCGGTGCTCTGAAAAATGGTGAAAAGTTAATTCAGGGTATTGAAAAATGAAATTCCATAGAAAATTTGTACATTATTTATTTCGTTATATACAAAGAGATACTAGTAACAACGTCATCAAATCAATGAAAACCTACATTAACCCTAATGGTACCACGATGTGACTTTGTCACATTTGAACTTTTTACTTAAATTTCTTGATTATTTCGCATTAAATTTCTAAAAGTTTTTTTGGGCTTTCAACATTTTTTAATATTATAAACAAAAGTAGTAACATTTTAATCATTCCTTTTATTTTCATAAGCGACTGAGAGTCTGTCCTATGGCGACAGCAAATTGTCCTTATATCAATCTGCCAGGAATCGCGGAAATAGTGAGTTATAAAACCTGTTGGGGTGGAAAGAGGGTAGGCATCTAATTCGACACGACAATGGCGGCGCGCCGAATCGTATCGGGGTGGACAAATCAAAATAATAGGCTGGTAATATCCGGCCGAGGTGAACTCCCGCCGACGGATACATTGTGTCTGGAGATAATTACGGGTCGATAGAATTCCGAATGGACCTCCTGGAATGGAATTCTCGGTTCCATTCACGGTGTGCCAAGGTTGACAGACTTCTTCGTAGATAATACAGTCCTAATACTGTATTCTTTTTTTACTATAATTATGATGTGAATATTTATTCATTTATTACACATTTATGACACGTGTAAAATACAAGTAATTTTTTTGGAAATTGGTAGTGAATTGTTAATAAATATATATTGGTTAATACATATGATATTTGTAATTGATATTTGGCATAAAAGATCTGTTACTTGGGAAACAAATATTCTGATTAATTTTTGCGAAATAGTCTGTTAAAGTGAAAATATTTTTATTTGACTTTTATAGGAAGTATAGATATGAGAGTTTAAAGTTTAAAATTGATTGATTTATTTATTTATTGGTTGTAAGGTAATGACTAGTAAATAAAGGATCCATCTATCGTGTAATAAAGATCGAAGGAAATCTGAGAAGTACAAAATTGTGACTCACTATTTACTTTAATTAAACTAAATTAAACGTCATATTATCCCACAAACAAAAATAAAAAAAATCTCAATAAAAATTCAATTCCTTTTCCATCCTTCCAAATGAAAATCGACGAGTTTAGAATTAAACCATAACCGTCAAGTAAGATGCAAAATTATCCCAAAAACAAAAGTAAAAAAAATCTCAATAAAAATTCAATTCCGTTTCTACCCTTCCAAACGAAAATCGACGAGTTTAGAATTAAACAATAACTTTCAAATAAAACGCAAAATTATTTCAAGAACAAGAATAAAAAAAATCTCAATAAAAATTCAATTATTTTTCT